TGAAAGCCAAGCCATTGGTGACTGGTGAAGGTTTAGTAGAAGCCCAGTCATGGGAGACTGGTGAAAAGTTAACGGAAGCCCAGTCATGGGAGACTGGTGAAAAGTTAACGGAAGCCCAGTCATAGTGGACTGGTGTAGGGTTGACAAAAGCCCAGTCATGAGAGACTGGTGAAAGTTTAGCGAAAACTTTAGTAATGTACAGTTTGCTATCATCATAAAAAAATTTGAACTTTGATTGATTTTTGTTAATTTGCTTGCCTGTAAATTTGCATCCTCTAATAACTGGTCGCTATGTAAACAACATGTTCATGTTTTTTGTGAGGCTCTCACATGTACCGTTATAGCAACATTGCAGAAATACAATGTGTTTCAAGTCAAAGGTCATCAATGGCATCTCAAGTAATGAGAGTATAAGATGCCAAGGAATGTAATACCAGGTATCACAGAACAGTATCTGACTTTAGTTACACAGAGCTTATTGTTAAACCAACAATGTAATGCATGCATGAACATAACTTACAGATCTACTAACACATACATATTGTGTACAAGTATACTTCAAAACCATATATTCTCATTGCATGACATTTATTTTTACTATTTTGAGCATACTTATGAACTATCAATATAACCTTTGGAAAATATTCCTACAATTAGACATACCGTAGATTGCAGATATTGTCAAAAAATGAACTAATTCGACAGAGGTCTCTTCAAGATTGCAGATATTGTTACAAAGTGAACTAATACGAAAGAGGTCTCCGCAGGATTGCAGATATTGTCACAAAATGAACTAATTTGAAAGAGTCTCCGCAGGATTGCAGATATTGTCACAAAATGAACTAATTCGAAAGAGGTCTCCTCAAGATTGCAGATATTGTCACAAAGTGAACTAATACGAAAGAGGTCTCCGCAGGATTGCAGATATTGTCACAAAATGAACTAATTCGAAAGAGGTCTCCTCAGGATTGCAGATATTGTCACAAAATGAACTAATTTGAAAGAGTCTCTGCAGGATTGAAGATATTGTCACAAAATGAACTAATTCGAAAGAGGTCTCCTCAGGATTGCTGATATTAACACAATATGAAATTGGTTTCCCTAGGATTGCAGATATTGTCACAAAATGAACTAATTTGAAAGAGGTCTCCTCAGGATTGCAGATATTAACACAATATGAAATTGGTTTCCCTAGGATTGCAGATATTGTCACAAAATGAACTAATTTGAAAGAGGTCTCCCCAGGATTGCAGATATTGTCACAAAATTAACTAATTTGAAAGAGGTCTCCTCAGGATTGAAGATATTGTCAAAAAATGAACTAATACGAAAGAGATCTCCGCAGGATTGCAGATATTAACACAATATGAAATTGGTTTCCCTAGGATTGCAGATATTGTCACAAAATGAACTAATTTGAAAGAGGTCTCCCCAGGATTGCAGATATTGTCACAAAATGAACTAATTTGAATGAGGTTTCCCCAGGATTGCACATATTGTCACAAAATGAACTACTGTAATTCGAAAGAGGTCTCCTCAAGATTGCAGATATTGTCAAAAAATGAACTAAATGAAAAGAGGTTTTCCATAGTCTTATAAAAATTAAAGTAGCAGATGTAAGTGAAAGTCAAAAATACAAGTTATGACCAAAAATCGCAAAATTTAAACTTGAAGAAACAACCCAATGTGTTAGCACAACACATTTCAAAATAATCTGATTAATAGTTTTGAAGAAGTCAAAAAAGAAGTTGACGGATGGTCGGACAGACAGTCTGACTGACAAAGATTAAAGTATCTCAACAGTAGAGCTTAATGTAATAAAATAAGTCAATATAAGACAACTTGTTGTAGCAGATGTCTAAAATAGCTGCCTGTTCATAAATACTAAATAATAAATGTGAATTGCACAAATGTACTGATATATATTTGTGTCCCAGCAACAAGATCAGGCAACTTTAATTAGCATTTGAATTCAATATAGACTATCAAGTGACATCAGTGTGGCATGCCCACCCCAAGAACTTTAGACAACAAAATGGTCATAGGTATAACAATAGAAATTTATTTACATATTGATAGGTAAATTATTTTGGAACAATAGTCTTCATCAGCATGAGAAAGATTTCTATTGTTTTCTTGAAAGTTTGAGTAAAATAATACTACGGTATCAGAACAACAAATCTCAACACTCATATAATAGTCTGTTTGAGTTGCCATGTCTGGTTACTATGGCTACTATCTAAATAATACAACTAACAGGACCTGAAAATCACTTCCTGAAGGCAACCAATGACAAAACCAAAAACCTCTAAACATTCATTAGATTAATTGAAATTGCGAGGGAAACGTTAGACTGTTTTAAAGGGCACAGAAACAGATAGGTTAGGAACCCAAAGCCTCCTTGAATTATGAACTCTGGAACTATAAAACATATTAGTATCTATCTTCTTTAATGTGGTGTCATTTGCTACATTTACACTGCAGCATTTTATTGGAGCCCATCGGCTCGAGCCAGCAAAAATTGCTGTGTATATGCAAACGGTTTCAATAAACCCTCTGGGTTGAACTCTGATAGGGTTGAGCCCCGTCATGGCTATAGGCATCAGGGCCCAACTATCGGAGCCGAAATCACGCCCTCAAGTAACCTCTCATTTCAATTATGGCAGAGACAACACCGTTTGTAATTTCATATTATTCACATTTCTAGCTTGACGAAGAAGTTCCTTTCGACTCTGATTGAACTGAATTGAACTCTGGCAGATCTCGGCTCTTGTTCAGCCCCTGACCGTGTAAACGCATTGAAGATAATCTCCTGTTAATCGATGAGAGGAGAAGTAGTTCTGTGTAAACGTAGCAATTATCAATAGAACTACATCAAATATACCTATATATACTCTAATTTAGAATCAGCATTCTTATAGTTCATTGCCAAAAAATATTAGCTGCAATACTGTACATGCACATTGGCAGTATCCCATCTAAGTCTTATTTCCGTATAATTTTCACTATGTAAACCCTGAGAAACATTTCTTTTAATATCATGAAATGCATACACAATATTTTCTCTAATAGAAGCATAGAAGAAGTGCACATAAACCAAAAATTGCATTTCTTGTATGCTGAATTTTTAAAATACTTACTTTGACCATAAACACACCTCTGTCATTTACAGAAATGCGTATGCTACAAATGAAGCAAATATGGTATTTTATATGCATGTCAAAAGTTCTATAAAATCAGAGGATATGAATATTGGTGTTTCACATACATATATGTGTTGCTACAGAAGGTGTGCTTCTTAACAAGTGACGAATATTATTGTATCCCTTATCAAAAGCAATTACTAAAACGTGGCAGTGATGTAGATGAGAAATCCTAGCAATAGGTTTAAATCGTTGTTATGTTGGATGGTATAGTCTAGTATAAGTAAAATATGTTAGAGATATACTAAATAAGGGTAGTAGAAACAAGAATGTCAATCATTATGTAATAAAAATCTGCCAAAACATGTGAAAAAAACATTCAATATTGTTGCTAGCCATTGATAGTAAACTTTAACCTTGTTAAAACGAACTCTTTGGGAGACATACTATTTGTTTGTTATAATGAAGCACTCAATACGTTTATAATGAGTGAGTGATATGACATGTGTTAATGATCGTTAGTATATATATTTATTCCAATTAGAATAAATGCTCCTTATCTATTCAAATAATCAATGTAGTTTTGAAAACTTTTTTGTTTAAATATAACCACATAATAATGACCAGATCCTACCAAATTTTAGTTTAGACACAATTACATGGGCAAAGTGACCATACACAAGGCTGATGACACCTAAAATGCGATGTGAAAAATAAGGGTGTTGTGTCGTGTGATAGGGGCTGTAGAAAATTATGATGCACAATGCACACTACTTCTAGAAATCAGTGAGAGGCCATCAGAGATATGCTTAGCCTCTCAAGTTGGCCTTGTATTTGACATTTCATCCAGAACCCCGAGCAAGTTGTCATCTTGTACCATAACCCTTAAATTCACTTGACAAAACTAGATTCCAATAGATGGAAACCTACACTTAATAAATAAAGCCAGCAATAATATTAACTTTAGTCTTCAATCTGATTAAATATTTTTTTTTTTAATTTAATTTTTTTTTTATTATAATTTAATTTTTCAGCAGTTTATTTTTGTTAAGTTTTGATAATCACAAAAAACCCAAAACTAGTTAAAATAAAACTAGGATGTGCATAATAAAAAACAGCAACAAATATTTAAAATAAATATTTAAATAAATAAACAAACAAACAAATAAATAAATAAATAAATAAATAAATAAATAAATAAATAAATAAATAAATACAAACTGAACAATACATTAGATTTGAATCAGATTATGATTTTTTTTTTGTCCCAAACAAATGTTTTTACCAAGAATGCTGTATTTCTAAATTATTATCAAGGTTATGTTTTGGAAACTAATAAGCAGGTTTTTGTGGACAGCCAGGAATGTAAGACTAATCAATGTTTATACTTTTGTGCAGTAGTGAAGTGCGTATGACTACAACTTTGATATAATGACATCAAGTCCCATCCTACCTTAAACAAAAAATCGATTCTGGATTTTTTCACTTGAAACATGTCAATTTATACTCACAATTTGACACAGAGAGTTGTTTGAGAGCAAACAACTTGGGGATAAAAGGCAGACATCAATCACGACTACATTAGGTACATTAAACATGAAGCATGATATGCTAACTACTTGTTGACTTGCTCTGTTCAAATGTATTGGGCCATGGAAATAGAGTTACAACACGTTTCTATTCAACATTGCAACTAAACCCTCACTTTATTAGAAGAACACACATGGTGTGGGCCAATGTTCTCAATCAACCACACAATACTTCATTTATTTGAACTCAACAATCCCTATTCCTTTAAAGAGTACTGGCTTGAATCCAGATTTGTATTCAAATCATTTTTCATCAGGCTTTATGACAGCCATTCTAGTTTAATAAAAATGATGTTGTAAATTTTATGACTCCTTCCACTTCAATTCTATTTGGTTTTATCAACAATAAATAACCACAATAACAAATAGACTGCAATTCTAAAGTTTTATATCAATGAATTTGGATGCTAGAAAATTGGGACAAGAGAACAATGTTGCATGTTGGGAAATAGTCAAGCACAAGTTAGTACAGCATGCAGCATATACCATATGGGACAGTGCTGGTGAATAATTAGTATTTTAACAATGTTTCAAACCAAGCCAAAAATTCCCTTACATTAATTACTAAGACCACTAACCTACCACCACAAAACAAATAAAAAAACAATTGACTTATGAAATTAACAAAGGCATTCCTAAGGTGAACTATTACGCAATACTATATACTACATCAAGTCATTTATGACAGATACATGGTATCCCATTCATGTGATTTTTTTCATTATTACTGGTACATGTATTATTATTAATATTGATTATTTACTAGCAATCTTTCTATGATAGTCGAAATGAAATAACAATTATGAATTAACACAAATAAAAAAAATAAACAATGGTGTCACAAAATACATGGGTACAATCCCAGGTATGACAAAGTTCCTCTAAAAGTATTTGGAACTGTTCCAATACATTGCGATATACGAGAAGCTTTGCCCGTACAGTCCAAAAGTAAACACGATCTGCTGTCAATATCACATACACGCACGCCCACAAATAAACGCTAGCGACGGACTGCAATCGGGGTTTAATGATCGACTGGCTAGTCATAATTGCGGGTATAGACGCAGCATTGGTCAATGTCATCATTAACGCCATCTGGTAAGAACGGAATATTATAAGACGTGGTCAAATGCTTGCCCGATTCTCGACAACAACATTGAAAAGCATGCATGGCCAGCGTCGCTGTGCATAGCGACATGATTTCGTTGATAGGTGGGTTGTTGCGGGCAAATTGTCACACTTTTCACTCATACCAGCATTAATATCAAGGATTAATAGCAAATAAAATAACTTGATATAACAATAATTTACCTACCTGCAACAATTTCCACCTGTAACTACAATACAAACATGTTTTTCGGAAAATTTCCGCTACTACTTCTCGGATTGTAGTTTCCAATGCTCTGACCCCGGAAGTGCTTACCTTCGGGATTCCCTGTCATGCAAATGATCCCGAGATTTGCCGAAGTAACCACTCGTACGTCCTACAGCAAAGCTTCAATATTGAGCAGGTGATCAAGTTTTAAAATAATTGGAATTCAAATTTTACAGGCAAAAAAAAAAACAATTTATATATTAAAAATGAAAAAAATACCCACACATGGAGGAATGCAAAAAACACATAATTTTTACATTTCTTCTACCGTGAAGTATGCAATAGACTTTTTTGCGCTTGAAAATGAACAGACAAACAAACAAAAACAACATTTTCAGATAAATCACGTAAAATTATGTTCACCATTCAGTTTCTTGTCGTGGCGCTGTCCATGTCGGAAATCGGAGCATAATGCTAGTATTTGAGAATTGTCGGTTGGGGGCCAAATAATACCACTGAGTAAGATGGGAATACTACGTGAAATACATATGCGTACTCGGGACACATTACTAGAGGGCGCTTATACACTAGTCGTTGACTAGTGGAATAAGTACTGAAGTAAGACTAGTGGTGGAGACTTTATCGTGTTTCGCAGCTCCCTTTCAACACCTGTCGAAGTCGTGCAGTGTAGTAATGGTCATCAGGTCATTTAATATGCTTCAGACACTTCCGCCCCTGAACCTTGGCCAGAGTCCAGGTTAAACGACTACATATAAATAATTTGTCAAACGAGGAAGTAGCGTATCATAAAAAATCACCTATATATTCTAGAGACGTTATTTACTCCGTCACACCCTCCGTACCACTATGTCAGGCTTAAGCAGTATCCTGGTGTCCGGTATTCCGTCCTCGGCTAAACGGACCAGCTGGAAATTCACTTCCAGAAGCGAAAGTATGGCGGAGGCGACGTGTCAAGCTTGATCTATCCTCTGAGAGAAACAGTGAATTCCGACTGTGCTGTGATCACGTTTGAGAAGCAAGAAGGTACTTTTTCGACAATTTCAAATTATTTAAGCACCTTTTATAACCAGCCATCTAACCACATACATATGCATATATGTATTTTGAATGCGTTAGGTGTTAGTGACGTGACACCACCATCCATTGTTTATCAGTGTATTTTTATGTGAAATGTTAGATAATACATACATGAATAACATGAAATACTAGTACGAGCGGAGTGAGTCAATCCCGGGGAGTCAGTATTTACAAAGTTCAACGAAAATGTCTGAATCCCAAAACTGCGGAACACAGCACAAAAGCGGTAACCTAAAGAGTCCGACGCACTTGACTTGCAGCTGTTGTCATTTTTATGGATTCCCTAACCTTTAGCAGATGAGTCTTTTTTATAAACTAATTTACCAGCGGCGAGCGGAACGCGACCGACTGTATCAGTTCGATCAGCTATAGGCGTTGACAAAAAAAAAAAAAAAAAAAAAACTTTTTTTGGACCGGATTCCATCTTTGGGTACTAGTATATGCTTTGACCTAGTTGTTATTAACCCACTATAATAACAGCGTCCACTGTAACCATGGTTACCTCGCTTTTTATGTTACACTGCCTGTATTCATATTTTACAACTACCGATTGAACTAATGACAGTGTGCATTTGATATTTTCATATTGTTCTCATTATAGTAGCGGAAAATGTTCTTCGAACCCCTCAGACGTTTCATGGAGTTCATCTCGGAACACGACCACTTGGTAAACAGGTCAGCATTATAATACCACATTATAATTTGTATGTTATCAATATGGATATCTAATCAGGTATGCTGTATGTATCACCGGTGTTGCCATGGCGCTTTTGTTTACTTATAGTGGCGGGACAATCGATATACATTAACTGTTATGTGAGTCCATAAATCAATATCTCTTTCAAACGAAGGACGCCGCCTACGGTAGTATTTCTTAAGCTTCCCCTTTCACAAAAGTCATACTTCAGTTCGGCTTCGACATACCAATCTGATTGAAATTCGATGTAGGTATAAGCTCCGAATCGAGATCCCATAAATAAAAACAAACTCAATAACAGCAAGTGAATTAAAATGATAAACAAAAATAACTATAAATAAAATATGGAAATTAAGAAGAAAATAGAGCTACATTAGATTTTAATCAGAATGTGACATACTTGATCATGTTGCATGGCAAAACACTGGAATTGTAGTTAAACATCCGCGAATATTAAATAAACATCATATTTTGTTGACAACCATGCATGACATGTGGCTTTACTATTGTGATCTTTTTTTTCAGGTTTTTAGAAATCTAACAGTCGAAATTGACCATGATATGCTGATGTCTATCCCTGGAGCGAAAAGTACGTTGGAATGGCAGTTCGGGCTACGATGTGAAAAACAAAGCGATCGTTCAATTTTCATCGCAAAGGGAAACTGGTACCAGATCGAAGCAGCTCGGAGGTTCATTGAAGAGAAGGTTGGTATCGACACGCCTTACCGCCCAGATACACCCATAGCATCAGGAAGTAGTTCTGTAGATGCCGAAAGTATGTCCTCGAAAATATGGCAACAAATCGACTCTCACATCTCTGGCAATCCCGCTCAAAGGAATCTTCCAAAGAAGTCTGCTGACACGGTTACAGTCGGTCAAAGTGGCATTGGATTGAGGGATTTGCAAGCAGCGGCAGGTTTGGAGGAATTCTCAATGGCCAGAGAATCGAAAATCCGTACTGGATTATTCGAGGCGATGATGAACGTAGACACTGACGAAGACAATCCCTCTCCCAAGCGTCCTTCCGTTGGTAACCCAGTAATCCCCACTACCAGTGACCAGAAAAGCCACAGTGACAGTCCATCGGAAGTACTAGTGGATGCCGACGTGTACCAGTATCTCAAGCTCACCAAGTACGACCAGCTCAAAGAACTTCAAGTGGAATGCAAAGTGGATTTCAAGAGCGATGGTGGTCAACCCTTAACATCTTTGCAGATAGTCCCATTGAACAAGTACATGACGTCTGCAGAAATCGCTTCTGCCAAAGAACGCTTCATAGCTCTATACGAAAGTATTTACCAAGGTCTCCAGAAGTACGACTTGCATCTACCAGAAGCTATATCTGAGCCAGAAGCCATGGAGACGGCGGCCCTGGACACCCAGATCAACGTGCCAAACATGTACATGAAACAAGAGAAACGTGGGCACTACTCAATTTATGGCACCGATCGATCCATCGGTAAGGCGAAGGTTTATTTTTATGCCAAACTTGCCGATGTTATGAAGGCAAACCGTAGTAAAGCGAAGACAACAGGGAAAGACATCCTGGATAAAATGTTCGAGATGACATTTATTGATGATTCCGATACATCCGTACGCCAACCGGATGCAGATTTGGTACATGCAGCATCGTCAGAGCCTCGAGTATCTAAGGTAGGACATGACGATGATCCAGTAATGGTTGACAACAAAGAAACCGACAAGACGGTCGAACCCCAAATGCTAGAACCTGAGATTGGGACACGGACTCCAACAGACAACTGCGTTCTCGACACTACAGATGACGGCAGTGAAAAAGAAGAACCAATTGAGGTTAAAAATCAAGACGAAAAGGATGGAGAGATAGATGTAAAGCACTCCCCATAAACAACGAAATTTGTTTTCACTGCAAATCAAGCGCATTAAGGAGGAAGTGTCTTTATTGCGTCAACATTTTAATGGCAATTGATTAAAAAGGATTAGATCCATTAATGTAAAAACAATAAACTATATGTAACACTGACGACAGGTTCATAAACTCCTGCAAAATCTGCACTTCTGGTTTTAAAAATAAAGTAACATATTGTTGATGAAACATGCCTCATTTAACATAAAACATTAGTTGCCATGGGAATATAGTAGCCAAGGTTTTGAGACAGAATTACAAAGTGTCAGTCTTGCCAAAAATTCAAAAAAATAAAAAATTCTGAAAAGAGAAACAATTTACACAATCACATATAATACAGACATGTAGAATGTAGAAGTGAGATTTGGGAACGACGGATAATATGAATTTCGGCGTTCTTTTGGTTTAGGCATGTGTTTGTTGAGACTAAAAATCGTGATTGTTATGTTAATCACACTTATTATCCATTTCATTTACTTCAAATTTGATGCTGACCATGCTGTAAAATCTTATGTAATTTTAAAATAAAATGATTCTTTTTAAATGTCAAATGTGAATGATTGTTTTAGGTAATTGTGTTTGAAAGCCCAGGAACGAACTACACGTTATTCAAACCAGAAGATGATAAACATCCAGTGCTACAGTTACTATAGTAACTTGAGATCAGTACGTAGTCAACGTTTACAAAGTTATACAGATTATAGTATAAATTGTCGTTAAAAATTGAACTGGTCGATTTCTACAGCCGAACGTCCACGCACCATTCCTTGAAAGTGAATATGATTAATTAGACATGTATTCGCAGCTTTTGAATTGAAGTTTAAAATAAATGATTCATAAGAAACGAAATTACACGCCAAATGCATCGCACACACGTAAAGTTTGACCAACAATAACGAAAGTATAAAATATGTTTAATAATCAGGTTAAAAAAAATCTCTCTTGTTTTTCCCTCTCTTGCCAATGTAATAAATGTACCATGAAGACATCATCCTTTTAAAACCGCTCCCTCTAGCGATAAAAAGCCGCTGTTACCTAAACATGACGTACTAGTAGATCGGCCCAAGCAGTGTGTTAAAAACGACTACTATGATTGGCTGTGTTCAAAACGACTACTATGACTGGCTGTGTTTAAAACGACTAATATGATTGGCTGTGTATAGCAAATCACTAATAATGTTTTTTTTATTGACGGACAGCTACATGTCAGAACCGTGACAATAATGAGACTGCAAGCACCGTTTTTCGGGAAAGTGATACCTTTGTGCTGCGACCTAATACATAGAGGTTTCCCAGGAAAGCATCCTTAGGCATCGAAACTTAAAACTAATCGACTTAATTGGTCATCACGTTGATAATCATCAAACAACAGCCGTTTTCTAGCGGCAATAAAACATTAGCTAGGAGGTAGACACACACCCAAAACATCACCCATATAAAATCACTAATTTGGCAATATTGGATGCGAGATATACCGTACATATTTATATTGAAGCTTGTCAATGTATACAGGAAAAATACAAATTATTTATAGAAATGACTATACACCTTCGCTACTATGACACATTCATTATCGATGCATGAGAACATGACATGGTTATACCCTAGCACAAAATGGCGATGATTCCGGTTTGGTACTGCATAGCAATAGGACATGGATGGCTCACCGCTACCTTTAAACCACCACCCCTTTTCAATCATTCAGCATGCGAACTTGAATACTCTCTATCAAAAAATGCAGAAAATACTTTTTATAATAGCAAATGTTTATGTTTGAAGAAAGAACACTTTTTGTTGATAGATAGTATTCATCTGCAGACGCTGAATGTAAATCCCTTTCTAGGCTGACGAAATGGACACACTACAGACTCCGTGGGTCAAAAACGGATTTCATTTGGCGGCATATACAATGGACGTTCCCCTGTCCCCACGTGGCGAGTACACAAGTTACTGATGCGTAGTCTGAGGAGATGTGAATGTAAGAATAACTAAAAGTTACATGAGCGTTCTATGTTTGCTTGTATGTTCTTTAACTAGTTCACAGCACTCGCCTACCGTTAATCAAGGGTGATGCCAGTCACCTCACTCTCTGCTGAGCTTATCCTTTTGAACGCCATGATTTTCACGCAATTTTCCCATGATTTCTTTGTTATTTTTTGACTGAGTTGACATATTTGCCAATACATTAGTGGTGGTGGGAGTTGGTTTGGTGCAAGTCGGCATTGGTGCGAGTTGGTTTTGGTGCGAGTTGACCTGTGACCTTTGCGACCAGCTACAACATTGTGAAAGCAAATCATAAATGGGACAAATGTTGAATTTGCCTTTAAAAGATCAAAACCAACAAATGATAATCAAATCGAAAATCTGTTCGTCTTGTGGGACATCTTATTTAACGTAGGACGCCATCGTTTTTTGTTTGAGCTCCATGGCCCAGTTTCAACTTCGTCGAATTTCATTATGCTACATAATGTTCATTTGTAAATCAACATAATAAAACGGTTGAAATCTGATTTATTGATATAAATATTCATATTGAATGGATCAACATGTCACTTAATAAAAGTAAAAGTTAGTATGGCAAGTATACTGTTTACGCACATATTCATTGGGATAGTTGATATCTAGGAAGACTTAGTTTAAAAGTAAGAGAGTATGTTAACCGACCCATGTTATGCTATGCAGAATGTACGTTTATCATCACATATTTTATGACCACCACATACATGCACTTCATTTTCAGTTAATATATTCGAATCAACTCAATTTCACACTAAAGTGGGGTACAATAACTAGAGAACCGGAGTATATAATATAATACCGGAGTATATCATTGGGTGTTTCATATTACCCAGAATAATAGTTTTCAGAAAAACTATGATATATAATATAATATATATTACATTGCAAGGCTTCAAATATTGTATAGTCTGAAATTGTTTCTGGTCTAATAATAAAATATACAGAGTTGTTAAATGTAATTTCTGAGAACTATGTTTTTCTTTGCTTAGTCCCGAATCAATTTAAGTACAGTCAAGCCTGTGTCAGTGACATCATTTATATAAATGACTATCTGTCCATGGCGACTACCTATTGGCAGTCCCAGTGTGTAATTATATGCAAAGTGAGTTGTATATCAAGGCATCTGTCTAATGTGACCAGTGACCATTGTTTTGGCACTGGCTTGGCGAACTGACCATTTGCAGCACGATGGCAGGTGATTGCATGGTTAATGTTTCACATTCGTCAATCAACACATCTTTTGCATTTTGTTTTAAGTCAAGAAATTATTGCCATATTTTCATTTACAAATACACCCTTCATATAAAGTCCAACTGGGAGTGATCCATCTTAATTTCAGGCCATTTTGAAATCAGCTTGATTAAATACTTGTGAAATTATAACAACAAAAATCAAATATGCAGACATATGTTAATAAACTGGGTCAATATATAGTTAGCATTATACTTTTCGCCGAAGGAGGCGATTATATATAGTTAATTCTAAAATGTGTATTGGTTCTTATTACCCACATGAATTTATACATAATGCACGAGTATTTTGATTTAACTACTGATTATAACCAGACCAGCACACATTTCAACAAAATAAACAGATGTCTTTCAAATGATATTACACAGTAGCACATATTTTGTATCAAAGCAATCGGATTTGGTCCATGGATATATGACTGGATAATGGGCTCCAGTGCGAGATCTTTATACTTAACATCCATGCTGTGAATAAATAATAATATTATATAAATATAAAATATACTGTTTCATATTGTTAAAGTTGTTATTAGGGCGTAGACCGGCAATGTGGCCGACTTTTCAGCGCGGAATCGTGGAGGGAGCAAATAGTTCTGACAGCTCCCCAATTAATTTGCCATCTGTTTCGGGCCATCGATTGCGCGAGGGTGTAGTATTTCGTCAACACAGACTACTGGATAACGTGGTTTTCTACATATAATAATAAACACCATATGCCATCACATCGAGCTAAATTTTTGGGGCGTTTCAAATTTCATGTGAACAAATTTGGATGGCTTCTTGTGCAATTTCCCACTAGTGCTCATTCTCGCTGTACGTTTAATGTAGTCGTGCGATCTGGTGGCTGATTTTGTCCTGTGGGGCTCGTCTCGACAAGACAGGTTATGTCGCGGTTTACACCAAGTTCTCTGTCGCCTCCAGTGTCCTATTTTACTGACTGTATATGTTCGCTCAGCTGGTGTAATTTGTGTACGTTCATTATGTACAGATAACGCATCAGTATTTAGAGGTCGCTTTGAACATGAATTTTCATCCTCGTGTATTTTATGACCCACGTTTACGTGTCCTTTTCTCCTTCCCCCTGTACTCATTCGAGCTGTAATTTTGATATACTCGCTGGTCATTGGATAGCAACGTTCATTTATATTAATGTCGGGGTCTGACACATTGCTGGGCACTATTGGTCCTTGTCCTCCGTTTTGATTCGTCGACGTAGTAGGTGATAGCGCCCTCTTTGGACTCACTCTTGACTCTGTTGGAAGCGATGTAACCTGAAAAGCGAATTCAGAACGGCGTATAAGCTTCGATTATTGTCGTACTTACATATATCATGCTTTAATGTGGGCTATATTGCATAGGTGGTTAAATATATTGCACGTCGTTAATAAACAATGCTTATATTCAAATTAAAATAATCTACCTTTGCAATCACATTCAACAACAAATACCCGTAGTCATGTTATTTTCTAATCCTATTTTATCATTAATTTGTTTTAAAGGCTGTGCCTGACAAAATAGGAACAAAGTACATACGTTTGTGCCAGCCCACCATGTGACAGACACTCAATTGACGTCGTGATCCAACAACAACCATAAATACTACTTAAAGGGGAGCAGAGGTGTGGCTGTTGACACTCTGTACATTAAATTTGTGATCTATGAATGAATTCTGTCGATAAAAATAACTTATATGTGCTGCGAAATGCCCTAAATATCGGGTATAAAACGGGCTGTGAAGCAGACGACAAACGTCCGCTTTTCCTGGCGTCATTTCGCCTCCAGAGGGCCAGTCAAATGACGTCATCAGTGAACACTGATAATTGAACCCATTCATGCTAGTACGTCAATCCCATAGAAATGCTACTATGAAAGACCTTGTTAACTGACTACTTAAAAGTTGAAATATGGCGAGGTGTTGTGTTATGAATGCCATAACGATTCATGTTATATTTCTCGAAATCCCAAATAAAAAAATCACGTTGTTGGTTGCGGAAAAACTAACCTGAAAGTGAAGACAGTACAGCGTTCTGGCTATAGTAAACAGTGAGTGAGTGAATAAATATTGTACGAGTTAAAACTAAATGAGAAATATGATAATACCACTTGAACCACAGTACTCATTTTGCCTCACTTCTCCCTTTTTAAACGATCGCTTAATTTCCGACCGTACTGTATTTTCCGACCGCTCGCTTATTGAAAACACCGACCGCTCGCCCAAACACCGGTCACCGGCATGGGAGTAGTCAAAATGTTTGGGGATATACAAAGAAAATTCTGAACGGCTCTTCAAATCTATACCACTCTGTATCGTTAGCGAACAACTTCATCTGTGTCAAATACTAGAGCCGGTACAATATTGTAAACAAATGCCATTATATACCTTTTCTTATTCTGGTTTCACAAACGTTGAATAGCCGTCAAACATTCAAGTATATTTAGTTTTTAACTATCTATAATTATATGCACGCAATTTGACCCTTTGACCTAGATTTGATTGGAATGGAATATTTTAATTTTAAACAATATTCTGACGTTACTTACTGCTCCAAAAATGTTTCAACACAATTGCGGTATGACTGTCCGATTTACAAGTGCATCGGATAATATATTAATAACCACTCTCACCAATCGCTTGCTTAGGAGAGAGTAGGAAATCAAACAGCCGCAGGTCGCCCGCCTTTTATGCATAGATTTCATGACGCCGTCTGACAGCGGTCGGGTACGAAAAGCTCGCACAGCAATTCACACTTATTGTCAAGACAATGAATGAACAGAAAGACTGGGAAATTAAAAAGATTATATTTCCACAAAGTTAAATAAATCTGGCTACATCAAAAGCTTGGAAACTAGTTATAATACTTTTGCAAAAGACTGAGTGATCAACAACATCATTTTGGGATGCAATTGAACTTGAACTTCTTTCCGTAACTTACTGCACGGCGATGCTGACATCAAGTGTGTGTTGACCAAAGTTTGACCCCAAGTCACGCACTGAACAGGCGCGTTACCTTAGCAATCTTTTTCTTTCATGCTCCGCGCGTCGATCTTGTAAAATTGTTATTAGTTCTGACGGTGCTGTACGCAAACTTGTATATTTTGAGGTCGTTTACTTAGTGCGCTGCTTTTCTAATTACGCAAATTTGTTTACAATGTCGTACCGGCTCTAAAAATTTCAACATTGTAATATATCGCTTTCATAATAATTACGCAAAGTCAGTTATTTTATATTGGACACAGGTGAAGTTTCGTCCGCGAACGATACAATGTGGTATAGATTTGAAGAGT